AAGCACAAGATTATTTTTCCAGGATAGGTAGGCCTCCTCGTGGTGCGTAGAGCGCCATGTTCTAGTTTTGCTTTAAAGCTCGTAAATGAGAATTAAACCAGGGAGCCAACTTCCTGTCCCTAATTACCTTCTTTTTGAAATGGGGCAACATCATCTAATGCCACACGTAAAGAGGAATTAACATGATGAACTAAGGCATCAATTTGTGAGGGGCTAGAACTGAAAATATTGCCCTCTGCTACGTTCCTCTGAGATGCTGAGGACAGTAAATATGGAACAGTTGATTTAAAAGATGCAACTGCATTGTCAGATAGAGACCGACTATAGTGAAATTTACTTTCATGTCTCGAGAACTCAGTTATAAAAAAACTCAAAGGTTATCAGAAAGTGGCCCGAGAGGACTGGATTATGTGGAAAGATCGTTATTTCCTCACACTCTGTGCCATAAGTCAGCACAAGGTCCAATGTATGATGGCAGGAGTGGGTGGAGCTATGTATTCTTTGAGTAAAACCAATTGAGTCAAGGATATTACTAAAGGCTACATTAAGGCTATCATTTTCAATGTCCACATGAATGTTGAAATCCCCCACTATAATGACCTTATCAGTATTTAGCACCAAATCAGACAAAAAATCAGAGATCTGATCCAAAAACTCAGAGTAAGAGCCTGGTGGACGATATAGAACTATAAACAAGAGTGGTCTTACAGTTTTGCAATCTGGATTAGGAAAACTAAGAGTAAGATGTTTGAAAGAACTGTAGCTATTAATTGGTGAGGGACTGATTAATAAGTCTGAATGAAAAATGGTTGCTACTCCTCCTCCTCGGCCTGTACTTCGAGCAATATGATGATTTAAATATCTAGAAGGAGTCGACTCATTTAAGCTAACATAGTCCTCTTGCTGCAGCCAGGATTCTGTGAGAGAGAGCAAAGAGATCTGATTATCACAAATCAAGTCATTAACTAACAAAGTCTTAGAAAAAATGAATCTAATGTTCAACAACCCACATTTAATTTTTTTAGTGTTCTGCTCAGTTGAATTTGTTCTAATATTTATGAGATTTCCATGATTTGCTTTATTAAGCCTGATATTTAATCTGTGTGATTTTGGCCGTGGGCAGGACACTGTCTCTATGGGGTAGTGGGTGGGTAACAGTACAGAAGCTGCAGAGGGGTGGGTTAAACTACGACTCTGCTTCCTGGTCTGGACCCTGGGTTGTCATGGAGGACTAATAAAACTGGCCATATTCCTATAAAGAAGAGCTGCTCCATCCAAAGAGGGATGGATGCCGTCTGTATAAGACACCTGCTCCCTGAGACACTTGTGGGGAGGTTTCAGATGATGGAAGTGATCTCTTAGCTTTTCAGACTTTTTGACACTTTTGCTTTAAATTTCTTTGAGACTGGTACACTGTTAAAAATCCAACTTGCAATTTGTTTGGAGAGTTTAAAGTTTTAAGTTAGTTGAACGTTTTAACTTGCAAAATGTTAAGTCAATACAGAAAAAACAGTTATCCCCACTTAAGTTGCGATTTTGTCCACTGACTGTAAAATAAAAAGTTGAGACAACTTGATACTTTAAATAGACGGTTGTGCCTTTAACTTGAAGCCTCTGCGCATGTGCTGTCGTCAGTAAGATATACGGGGTTTCCCAAGCCATGCAGCCAGCCGCAGAGTGGGCAGGGGGCACCAAATGTTGGCATCTCTTTGAGCAGAAGGTAAGTGCTATTTTATTTGCATTTTTATGTCAAAACAGTCTCAATGAATATATAAAAATGTTTTTATTAACGATTCCACATCCCTAACATACATAAGACCCCTTCAAAATATCCCACGTTTCCAAGTTAAATGAACTCAGTGGAAGTTGCAGGTGATTCAGATTAAGCTAGCATTACATGATTAACCTTACGGTTTAGGCTGTACAGATTTGAACACTATCGTAAAAGTAAGCTGAAACGCAGTTTAAATGTTAACGAGGTGCCGCGCCACCCGACGGGCTGAAGTGAATGTATATGGCGTTTAAAGCGTGCCACAACCCGTGCACGCGCATTGGGTCCACAGCGCGCGTGTGAACGGGACTCGCGAGCGGAAATATACATGGCGAGAGGTCATTTGTGCACTGAGAGGGAGCAAACTGTGTCTGTGAGCGCACAAGGATGTGCACAAGTGACAAACCTGCGTGCGCGCGTTGTCAACGAGCACACGGCAGAGGAAAACGTGCGCGCGCGGCAGCCTCTGTGCGCGCTCGGCAGCCTCTCTGCGCGCTCGGTTTCTGACTCCTGCTCGCTCGGCTGTAAGGGTTTTGGCACTCTGGAGGCGTGGCCTGTGGCAGATCTCCTCTTTCCTCTGATTGGTTAGTGTACCCCGCACTTTACCCTCTACCTATCTATATAAAAAAGTCTACTAGTCAAGTAGTTGCTGGCATAGCTCAGTTGGAAGAGCGGGTGACTCTCGCCCCGGAGGATCCGGGTTCGAGGCCGGGCAAGGAAAATGCAGTAGATGTCATGTTAATTTTTCTTAATTTCAGGTATTTTACAGTTGTGACCGTTCAACTGTCATTAAACGTCCGAATGTTTGCTGGGCAGTGTTTTAAAAAGTGCACATAAGCTAGATGGTTTTAACCATATAAAATTACATTTTTTGTGATACTGGAAAAATACATACTGAAATAAAACTACTGATTGAAAACTTTATGACTGTGGTTGTACAATATATGACTCACTAATACACTGCAAACTCCCTTAGAGTGGGGCTTCCAGAGAGAGAGAGAGAGAGAGAGAGAGAGAGAGAGAGAGAGAGAGAGAGAAAAGTTCTTGCCTCATTAATGAATTGTTTATTTTTTTCAGTATTTAATTGACAAATTATCCTTTCAAATAATTAATTGATGAGTTACATAATTGTCCATTTAGAATTGTTGAATGGACTGAGTCAAGTTTGGTGCACTTTATATATTTCAAAACATGTTTTTTTTTTAATTTTAATGATGCATATAAATAATTTAAATGTTAATTTAATGAAATATTTCTATTTTTTCATTACCTCACCCTTGTTTTGACAAAAACGGGACCTTGCTGGATAATATCATGGAGAAACTATTTGTTCACAGTACATGGCTCCGTAAGGATCTGTGTACCAAAGGAGGAGATACTCAGAAATCTGTCTGCAGATTGTTACAACCCAGACTGGAAGTGGTGGGCTGTAATAAGAAAGGAGACCAAACAGAGGAGTGGGGGTTCAACAACTGATTTATTTAACAAAAGTAAGGATTTACTAAAGCAAGTTAGTGAACAGAAAATGGCCAGTGAGGACTCTCCACCACACAGGAGAGACCCAGTGAAAGCAGAAAAACAGTAGGCTTTGTAGGCAGCACCACACCCTGAGCCCAGGTGCCTCCAAGGCTGCTTAACCAGCTGCCTACAACAGAAGAAAAACACAATTAAACACAAATGAAAACCCAATGAGATGGTGGGGGCATCACAACACGTTCAGGACTACCCAAACACCAGTAATTCTTGACTGCACTGATCTGAGGTGTCAATGGCCATATTCCCCTCTCTTCCAGAGTCATATATTTTCCTCAAGTTCAACTGCACTCTGAAGAGGCTCATTTGGATTGTGCCACATAGGCCAGTGACCTTTGTCTCAGCACTGTATGCTGGAACTATCAGCGACCAACCTGGGAATCTGGTGTGTTGAAAATGCTACAACTAGAGATGGTCATCTTGGTAGACAGGGGTTTCTTCATTGATGACATTGTGCCCTGCAAAGTGTACAGGCCAGCTTTCCTTTCTGGCAAACCTCAAATGTCTGCATGTAAAGTTATAGAAACAGAAGCCATAACATCTCTGAGTGCATGTGGAGCGCTCCATTCATCTGGTCCAAGAACACAAGCATTTTGATTGTTATTCCCCTCCTTGCATTTGTAAACAATCAGCTATATGCTGTGGTTTTTCTCCTTACCAACTTTTAAAATAGCCCACTAGTGAAGGCCTGGGCAAAGAAGCCTGATGTCTGAGAACCTCAACATATGTACGGCAACCACACTGTATATTTACACACTTTCATAAAGAAACTGCATATCAAGCTTTCATTCAGATGACCTTCAACAGTGCTGCACCCTGCTGAGGGACATCCGAGTAAAACCTTGAGATGGCCATTTTCTGTTCACTAACTTGCTTTAGTAAATCCTTACTTTTGTTAAATAAATCAGTTGTTGAACCCCCACTCCTCTGTTTGGTCTCCTTTCTTATTACAGCCCACCACTTCCAGTCTGGGTTGTAACAATCTGCAGACAGATTTCTGAGTATCTCCTCCTTTGGTACACAGATCCTTACGGAGCCATGTACTGTGAACAAATAGTTTCTCCATGATATTATCCAGCAAGGTCCCGTTTTTGTCAAAACAAGGGTGAGGTAATGAAAAAATAGAAATATTTCATTAAATTAACATTTAAATTATTTATATGCATCATTAAAATAAAAAAAAAACATGTTTTGAAATATATAAAGTGCACCAAACTTGACTCAGTCCATTCAACAATTCTAAATGGACAATTATGTAACTCATCAATTAATTATTTGAAAGGATAATTTGTCAATTAAATACTGAAAAAAATAAACAATTCATTAATGAGGCAAGAACTTTTCTCTCTCTCTCTCTCTCTCTCTCTCTCTCTCTCTCTCTCTCTCTCTCTCTCTCTCTCTCTCTCTCTCTCTCTCTCTCTCTGGAAGCCCCACTCTAAGGGAGTTTGCAGTGTATTAGTGAGTCATATATTGTACAACCACAGTCATAAAGTTTTCAATCAGTAGTTTTATTTCAGTATGTATTTTTCCACAAATGACCTCTCGCCATGTATATTTCCGCTCGCGAGTCCCGTTCACACGCGCGCTGCCATGTATATTTTCGCTCGCGAGTCCCGTTCACACGCGCGCTGTGGACCCAATGCGCGTGCACGGGTTTTGACAGGGGTATGACGCGATAAATGTAGGACGTAAGCGTTTTCAGATAAACTCCGAAGCTGAGCCTGCTCCAGTTATGTTGAGCTAACCCTGCACTCCCCTGTAGAATTCCGCCAAAACTCGTGCACGCGTATTGTCCACATCGCGCGTGCGAACGGGACTCGCGCGTGGAAGTTAGAACCTCACGAGTGAAAATATACATGGTGAGAAGGTCATTTGTACACTAAGAGCAAACTGTGTCTGTGAGCGCACAAGGATGTGCACAAGTGACAAACCTGCGTGCGCGCATTGGCCAACGAGCACACAGTAGAGGAAAACGTGCACGCGGCAGCCTTTCTGCGCGCTCGGTTTCTGATTCTGCTCGCTCGGCTGTTGGGAGTTTTGGCACTCTGGAGGCGTGGAAGAATTAAAATGCCAGAAATTGAGCACTTGAACTTTCAATTTGAGAGCAGAATTTCATATCAAGTGATCAACTTTTTATTTTGAGAATAAGATTTTATATTATTGCTCTCAAAACTTGTAATGCTTGCACTCAAAATGTCTGCTCTCTTTCAAATTCACTCTGTTCTCCTTCAAATATTTTTCTGCGCTCAGATTTAACCTTCTTACACTGGTATTGTCTTCTCTCGTCACAACTTTTTCTCTGCACGGATCAAAACTCCTCCCACAAGTCTGTCCCCTGCTCTCACGGATTTGTCTGCTCTGTACTTCCAAGTTTTGAGCAAATCTCCCAGCAACCGCTCAGCCAATAGAAAGACTTGTGGGGCTGGGCGGGAACAAACCTCTTTGGGGTGCGCTCGTTTTGACGCTCTGTAGATTTTCCTGTGGCTGCCGCAAGTGTATGTTAAGTGAGGATCATTATTTTATAACCAGATACAGCTGCTCTGTTTCTTTTTAGTTTAATTCAACTGAGTTGATTTAGCTTCTTTCCTGCTCTCAAAATGCATTTTTGGTTGTCCATTTAAATGTTTAAAATTTTACCACCCAACAACCCCATGTCACACTTTACACACCACTGTCGGGCCTTCAGCTCCCTTTCCACCACTGTGCTCTGAAATCCATCTTCCCCTCATCCTGTATTCCATCAGCAACATTGTATACATTCTATGTACCCTTTTCATGCTTATAATTCAAATGCCCAGTGTGAGAAAATTAAACATTATATATATCTTTGACTAAAACAAAAAATATATGCACATCTGACAGTCATATAGCTTTATCTACCGACAAATTTAATAGATTTGTTTTATTCAGTTAGCTTGTTAGATCCACTTTTTGTTTTTGAAATTGGACACCTTGTTTTACAGAAAACTAATATTTTTGTTGATACTTGTTAATATTCCCTTTTTTTCTTCCTTAGGTTGGAATGCAGTGCAAGCTTTGCAAATTTGACCACCCCAGTCAGGAGGTCCTCTTGAAGCATTACAGATTACACCACTATCAAGGACGACCTTGGCAGCTGCCTTGTTTGTACACGGATTGCTTCTGCACTTTTAAAACAGAAGGTGCGTTAAAATCCCATTTGACAAGAGCACATAAGCAGTCTGTTACAGTTCCCAAACACCTCTATTTTACTTGCGAGTTGTGTGATTTTAAAAAAGTTTGCCAGCCATCCCAGTTTATAATCCATTTAAGAAATCATGTGAAGAGATATGACACTGTCAAATGTCCTTTTAAGGATTGTGACCTAAAAACCAATGTCCTTACCACGCTAAGTAGTCACATATCACGCAAACACAAGTCACGCAAATTTCATGATTTTAGCGCTTCTGTTACGTGTCAAACACAGCATTTAGAAAGCAATGAAGAGGCCTGGCCTGAAGATGAAGAGCCTATTGCTGATCCAACATCCACAACTGCAGAGAATCCTGTTCCTGCTGAATTCCATGAACCTGAAACAAGCAGTTTTTCAGAGCCTGTCAGTTATTTGGAACTAGAACGCAAACTTGCATCACTCATCCTCTATATGCAAACAGTATTGCATGTTTCAAAAAATGCTACTCAGGAGATTCTGAACTGGATCAGTGATATTGTGTCCTGTTCTAAGTATACGGCAAAGCAGTCTATCCAGGCGATTTTAGCCAAATATGAAAGTCACATTGATGAGCGTCAGTCAGAAGAACTTGCTGAATTGATATCAGCAGAGGTGCTTAAAACAAATCCTGTGTTCACAGCCACTACAAACAAGGGTATACTCTCAACAGAACATAAGAGGAATGCATATTTTAGAGAGCATTTTCAAGTAGTTGATCCTGTGGAATACCGTTTTCATAGGCTACATCAAAATACTTTTGTTTATGTCCCACTGTTGAGAGTTCTTGAAACCTTACTGAATAGAACTGATGTCTTTGAAAAAGCCATTTTTGCTGAGGATGTCTTGCCAGGACAATATACATCTACTCGTAGTGGCCAGTACTACAACGAGAACAAACTTTTAGGTGCCCAAAGTGATTGCATTTCACTGTCTCTCTACATCGATGAATTTGAAGTTTGCAATCCTCTCGGCACTTCAAAAAAAATCCATAAAATTACTGCTGTTTACTGGGTATTATTAAATTTGCCTGCAAAATTCCGTTCTACACTTCCTGCTATACAACTGGTTCTGCTGGGAAAAACTAATGACTTAAAACATTTTGGCTATGAAAAAATGTTTCATCCATTATTAAAAGATTTATGTCATTTGGAGGAGCAAGGTGTCTTTGTAGAAGCACTGCAAACTTCCCTTAAAGGAACAGTGTATTGTGTGTGTGCAGACAATCTGGGGGCACATGGTCTAGCAGGTTTTCAGGAAAGCTTTCAAGCTGAAAACCTGTGCAGATTTTGCAACGTGAGCAAAAATGACATACAAACCAAAGATGCTTCCTGTTTTCAACTTAGAACCATTGAGCAGCACACTGCCATTATCAATGAACTGAAAGACCAACCCGAACTCCAGAGTAGGCTTGGCGTAAAAAGAGAGTGTGTCCTCAGTAAACACCTGACTTTCTTTCACCCAATAACAGGGTTTCCGCCTGATGTGTTGCATGACACACTGGAAGGAATTGTCCCATTCGAGCTATCCATTTGCCTAAAAGAGCTAATAAAAAAAGGACACTTTAGTCTTGACACCCTAAACCACCGTATTAAGTCCTTTCCTTACAAGGACTCAGACAGAGTCAATAAACCCAAAGTCATTTCCCAGTTGAGCTTCTCAAAGAAAACAATCGGTGGGAATGGGCATGAAAACTGGGCACTGCTACGGTTACTGCCATTAATCATCGGTCACCTTGTTCCAAACTCTGACCCTATTTGGGATATTTTGATGGACTTAAGAGAAATAGTGGAGTTGGTCATGTCAGTCCAGTTTTCAGAACATACATTGGCATACTTGGAACGGAAAATTTTAGAACACCGTCACCACCTTCAAGAATCATTCCCAAACGTAAAACTGAAACCAAAGCACCATTACTTGGAGCATTACCCTCACCTCATTCGCTGTTTTGGTCCGTTAGTTGAGCTATGGACAATAAGATTTGAAGCCAAGCACAGCTATTTCAAGAGTGTGATAAAAGATGTGCGAAATTTCAAAAAACATTCCAGTTACTCTGGCAACAAAGCACCAGCTTCTGATGGCCCACTATCTAAATGGTCCAAATTTTTTTTCATCATCTTTATCAGTGAAAAAACTAAAAACTGTGAATGTGTCTTCTTTAGAGATGCTGCAGAGGGCAGCTGTCAAAAGAAGATATCCACACAGAGATGCTATGATGTTTGCATCAGATGTAGAGGTTCATGGAATTCACTTCAGTGAAGGGATGATTTTATCCTCTGGTCAGTGCAGTGGTTTGCCTGATTTTTTCAAGATACTCAGTGTCATTGTGAATGCAAATAAGGTGGCCTTTCTTTGCAAGAAACTTTCTTCATTGTTTATTGAGCACTATAGGTGTTACGAAGTTTCTGAAACAAGCACAGTTGAAGTTCTTGAGCCAGAAGACCTTAATGACTTTCATCCACTCATGTTCTATGTAGTTCAGGGAAAGAACATTGTTGCAGTGAAACGATTTCTTCTTAATTAGGTTTTAACATAAAACTAAGTGTCAAGTATAAGGATACCAGGATCTTGAAGCCTCACCCTCTATTTGTGATTTCAAGAAATTTTGTTTATCTTTTTTCTTTGTAGAATATGCGTCTACGTGTGGTGTTGGCTGCAGACAACATTAGAAGGTTGGATATTTCTGAAGATGTCTCTTCAGTTGAACAACTGGAACAAATTCTTAAGGAAAAGCTGGAAATCAAGGATAACTTTCAGATTCAGTTTGAGGACCCAGAGTTTGGGAATGAACTTTGTAATTTGACTAATATAACAGAACTTCCACCTGATAGAGCAGTACTGAAGATCATCCAAAAACCATTAGATACAGATGTACAGAGTCATGCTTCCTCTTTGGACCCATCCATTACATCTTCCTCATTAAATACCCCAACTTGCTCAAGTCAAGATCCTGTGTCTTTGACAGTCAAACAACGTGAGGCTTTGCCATGGCCATCTTTCTTTGTGATTCCTGAGTTTGCTTATGATGTTGAACTACGCCTAGAAAAAGCAAATAAGGAATATAAAGAAAATGGAAAGCTTCTTCTTACAATGTCAAGAGAAATTAAGATGGATATACTGGCTACCATAGCTCAAACAGTTTTTGCATTCAAGGCTTATCCAACCAAACAAGAGTTGGAGTCAGTGGCTTCTGCACTGATTGAGAAACACCCTTGTCTTAGAGATCCAGGTCCTGGACCTGGCCATCATAGCTGGACTATGAGCATAATATATAAGATGGGTAACTACCGCCAGAAGCTACAGTCCGCTGGTTGCTCAGAAGTCCTTGTGAACCGTAAAAGGTCAAAACATGACTCTAGACCTTTAAAGAAAGCCAAGAGGTGTGAGGTCAATTTCCTTCCAGACAACCCAACTGGACAGACAGATTCTTCCCTCCAAAAAGAAAAAGATGAACTTAAAGAAGAAATGCAGAAAAAGCATCCAAACATGGCAGCTGTCAAGTCCAAGATGGAACTAACATTTTCACTTAGAAGAAAAGAGATAGTTTCTGAAGAACCTCTGGTGGATGATGTCTTAAAACAGTGGCCAGCATTGTTTTTACCTGATCAGGTAAGGTTGTTTTTTTTCCCTTCAAATAGTTGGTCTTCACTGTTTTAGTTTTTAAATATTGTTTACCTGTCTTATAGGTATGTGCTGAGTTTTTCCGAATTACCCGAACTAACCTGACAAGCAGATTCTTCACGTCTTTGGATGAGTATGCACCAAAAATGATTAAAGTGTACCGTGCAAGTGGTGCAGCTTGTGGAGAAGGCATGAAGAGCCTTTTAGAAAAACTTGATGACCAAGTAAGTAATCTAAGCCATTTTTCATATTTTAACTTCATGCTTTTGATTACATGTCTCACATTTGTTTGGTGTCATTGTTTTCAGACATCTGATGTGCTCAGCTGCAGAAAGGCTACTGCTCTTAGAGGTCTGCCCATGTTTATGGATAAACATTCTGGGAGCCTTCTGAAAGATTGTCTGGTGAGTAAATGTAATTCAGATGCACACATTTACAAATACTCTGGTAAAAAAATATTGGTCTTTAATTAAACACTGATATTTAAACTCGAACCTGTAATCTAAATACTAATAATAATCAGATTTAGCAGAAACCAAATCACAATCCAAACACATTTTTGTGTAAAGCCCTACATTTCTTTTTTTTTCTTTTCTTTCTTTTTTTTTTAAGGTTTTATGGCCACAACAGCTTTTATTTGATAGGGACATGGGAGGAAACAGGAGAGAGAGGTGGGGGAGGACATGCGGCAAAGGGCGCTCAGGTCTGGGGTCGATCCTGGTCCGGCCGCTGCGGCATCACTGCCTCGTATATGGTCGCCCGTTTTATCCCCTCCACCAATGCGACGCCCACTAAATTTCATTTTTAACCTTTTAAATGGTGTGGACGGCCCCATTCCCAGTTAAATGTGTCGAACATATTGAAGCATAAATACGTGTCCTTGGAAATTTGGGAACAGGTGTTGTGGCAGGGCGACCGCATCACATTCGGGTTTCAGGTCCCAGTTTGCTTTGAACACGTGGCCCGACAACGTCCCGCAAAGCCCTGTTGGGATCAGGACTGTGTCACGTTGAGGAGTATTTGCTGGCGGACCATGTGTGGTGGAGCTGACCAGGAGGCAAAAAAGGCAGGCATGGATAAAGTAAAAAATGATTTAATGGTAGAGCGGGAACGAACAGCACAAGACAACAATGACAAACAAACCACAATGATCTGACACAGGACATACGAGACGGGAGGTATAAATACACTGGGGAAAATCAGGAACACATGGGCAGGTTAACAAGGGGCAGGTGGAACCAATAGGGACTAATCCAAGGGCAGGGGCAGATCATGACAGACTGCACGCTTTGGAGCAGAGGCGCCCGCCTCAGACGCAGCCCTGGGTGACGTGCAGACCGGTGCATCCTATCACAGCATGTGTCGGGGTGATTGTTTTTGACCATTTGGTTGTTGGACGTAACAGTGACTAAGGGGGTGGGACTTTGTGAAAGGCTAATTACACTAAATAGTAAAAACTGTTATTCATCTAGTATTTAGTTTCAGCTCCACTTTGAGATTTCAGTAAACGGCATTACAATCAAAATGCAGGGTTTCCCTTACATAGGCGTAGCCGTGGGAGGCAGCCACAGCTGAAATCCCACCGCCACGCCTACAAGATCCCAAGTTTTATTTTTTTATTTTTATTTTTTTGCGCCGTTTCCCGAAGAAGCAGCGGGAACTACTATGTTGTCGCTTGTGATCACAGCCGGCAGGCAGCAAGGAGCAGGCAGGGCAAGGTGAAGTTACAGCATAAGTTACTGAGTTTAAAATTAGAAAGGTAGCAGTGGATATAATGCTTTTTGGTTTACATGTTTCAATAGCTTTAAGATAAATGAGTGTTGACGATCTTGACAGGGTTTCCTCCCCCCACCAGGTTAAGCATCACTTATTCATGTAAAATTTATTTATTTTTTCATGTCTGACTTTAACCGCATCTAATACTGTATTACGGCGTGAGCGCAACAGCGACAACTTAAGATCGATGTGTGAGCAGCCTGAGAGGTCGGGTGTTTTCATCTGAACCCTTAAAACCTCCAGCAGGCTACGCTGCACTATTGACGTTTTAGCACGCGACGCTAACAACTTAGCGACGTGACATGTCTCGGAGAAAGCGTAAAAATACGTTGGACGCTTCTTCTGAAGCGGGAAAATAACACCTCTTCTTAAGCAGAGCACGACGTCGCCTCGGCTCGTTCACCCTCTGCCGAGCTGGACTGAGCTCGATAACATTGACCCAGCACAGCCACTGGGTCGTTGGAGCTGCCCCGTGACTGCCTGATGGAAAACCAGCGGGTTTCATCAGACTCGTAAAGTTTCTTGTTTTTGCTGGGGACCCCCTGTATTTATGCTCAGAGAGCTGTTTTTCCCCCCCAACACGAGTAACCAGAAAGTTTCTGCTCCCTCTTTTCTCTGCCTCCTGAACTCTGTCTGCTTTCTCCCCCCCCCGATATATGTATTTTGGTCGCTGCATCGGTATGTATGTGTGTAGGGGATGCTTGTGTGTGTCTGTTATGTTTTATCTCTGTTGTGTGTTTAGATATACTATCGCAGAATTTAATTTAGAAAATGCTTTATTTTGTTACATTTATCAGTCTGCCTCTTAAGTGTCTGGGTTTGACTTACTGCCAGAATTGACGCGGTTCGCAGAAAAAATAGAGCAGACGCCGAAATGATCGCTGCACTGAGCAGGCTGGCAGACAAGCAATCAAATCAGACAATTTAGACTATCAGACAATCAAATCAATGCTGCAGCACAGAAAGAACAGCGAAGCCGTTTACAAGAAGGGACACAGCAGACTGCACTTGTTGAGGATGCTTAGGTCCTTCAATGTCTGTAGCAAGATGCTGCAGATCTTCTACAAGTCTGTTGTTGAGAGTGTAATCTCTTCAGCCATCGTCTGTTGGGGTAGCAGCATCAGAAGCAGGGACCTGAAAAGGCTCAATAACCTAATAAAAAGGCTGGTTCTGTTCTGGGGACGACTGTGGAACCACTGGAGGAGATAATGCAAAGAAGGATTCTCCAGAGAATCAAGAAAATGATGGACAACCCTGAGCATTCTCTTCACAAGACTGTCCGACAACGGAAGAGTGTCTTCAGTAAGAGGCTTCTTCAGTTTGGCTGCAACACTGACCGCTCCTGGAGATCCTTCCTGCCAACAGCCATTGTAATATACAATAACTCTTTGAAGACTTGATTATTATTATTATTATTCTGAGCTACTACAGCAATCAATTTCTGCCTGGGATTAATAAAGTATTTTTGAATTTAATTGAATACAGACTCAAATGCTGGTTAAGATCTTAGTCCTTTTTTCCTCTGCAAAACTGTTAAGATGTGGATTTATAGGTACCAACATTAAGTTGTTACATTTAGTTTAAGTTTGTTGTATTGTCTTTACTGGGCATCTTTTAAGTTTCAGAACCTGGTTCTATTCACTTTTTGATACCTAATATTTTTTTTAGTTAAGATTTCCATGTTTAAGTCAGTGGGTTTAGCTGTTCCCACAGACAGCATAGTTTTAATCTCATTTCTTTGCTCTTTTTTTTAATAGGACACAGAGCCAGTAGAAGATCAGATTAACTCCATGAAGATGGGAATCTTGACCGTTATTGAAGACGATGTTGCCACCGTCCAGTCAAGCCCAAACATAAGGTTCTTTGCTGTTGTGCTGGAAGAACAGATTGTTGTGGATGAAGTAAGTGACCTACCAACTGCTTTTGCTCTCCTCTTTGGCCTCATCTATGCCCTCAACATGGACTACCCCAAGGAACTAAAATACACTTTTGAGACCATTCAAAAAGTGTTCATGTGCCTTGATCCCAAATGCTCAGCAAGAGTCCAGTCCTTCAAAAACAAGCTGTTACAGTATTGACATTCTAATGTACCGGTCTCTTCCAGTCATTTTCATGGTTCTAAATGTTAATGTTTTTATTCTCACGTTTGTAAGTTCACCATGACCAGTGAAGTTTTCTTGTTCTCTAACATTTTTGCTACTTTTGTAGTTTATCGCTGCAACTGATTGTTAGTAGTTTCATATTACTTATGGCGGCATGTATATGCCTTCAATGAAACAAATTAATTGTAACTCAAGTGTTACTTAGCTGTATCACCACATTTCAGATTCATGTGATTTAAAATGTTGAAATCAGATTGGCATCAAAGCTTTTGTAAAATTAATCTTCAGCATCCAATATCAATTCTGATGATTTGTCTTAGTTTCGAACAGAAATATGTCTTCATTTTCAGGTCAAAATAACCTGGTACTGGGTGATAATTATTAATTTTATCTTGTCTTTATTGCTGAAGCAGTTAGAGCTTTACCTTTTCAAAGATACTGGAAGTTTGCATGTATAGGCTGTAAGAAAGTATGTTACAACACTTACAGCAACTTCTTATATTTGCCATGTTATCAGTTTAAGTGGCTGATATATTTTATTGTAGTGTTAATGCTCCTGTATTGGTAATGAGATTTTGAATTTTACACATTTTGTAACTTTTTTTAAATGTGCCATTAGCATGTTAATAAATACATGCATGAAATTGAAATATTCAGTTTTGTGTTTTTAATGAAAGTGTTGTTTGTCAGCAAAATGTGGGAAGGACAGCACAGTTGAATTAGTTTATAGAACTGAATTCAAAAGTTGATTCAACTTAAAATATTAAAGCAACTGGCTGCAAACCCTTTTTGAGTTCAGTCAACTTTTTGCAAGTAGGAAGTTGTGCCAACTTTTTATTTTAAGTTTATCTGGCCATTGACTCAACTACTTATTCTAAGTTTAGAGAACTATGTATCCCAATTTTTGCCAAACTTATTATCGTTAGTTCAGTAAACTCTTTATTCCTGGTTCTACAAATGTTACATTTCAATTTGGTTGTATTTATTATTAAAAGTAAGCATAAAATGCACGTATAAATTAGGCCAACTTAAATATGAGACTTGGCAAAGCAAGCACCTAAAAAGTTGACTGAACTTAAAATTGTATTGCAACTGGTTGCTTTACTTTTTTAAGTTCACTGGACTTTTTATTTTTTACAGTGTAGCAAAAATCCCCTGAAGCAATGGGTGGAGTGAACAAAACTCTGAAAAAGTCATCGTTTCACCGACATCTGATCAACTTCTGGACCAGATTTAAAATCGCTCCCATCCCAGAGCCTGCACCCGAGGTGCGTCCACCCTTGCAAAGCCTCGTTTCCCATGTGAGGGAGGAGCAGCAGCGACCAGCGGAAGCTGTGCAGCTGCTTCCGCTCGTTTCAGCCCAGAAAATGAGCGACAACCCTTTACAACAGAAGTTTCTGAGAAGTCAGTCAGTTTATCTTAGTGTCTCCATCGCTTCTTGCTGTAATTACATGGCTGTACACACCCAAATAAATAAATAAATAAATAAAATGGCTCCCATTGACGATCAAACTTTAGCTGACGTCCAGATATTTAATAAAACAACTTTATCTTTTAAATGAACCAGGCAAGAGTCTCTGCACTCCTGATTTTTAATTTTTTTTTACCATAAAACAGTTAAAGTTAGAGAATAAACTGTAGATCAGCTGGGTCCCTGCTCAGACCCCTCCTTAATCCCAACACAGATCATGTGGTCGGCGAGCGCATCGACTACTGATGAATCTGCTCATATATGAAGGAAATAATTGTTAGGTGGAAGTCAAACCCTCACCAACGTGTTATGTTTCCGGTTAATGAGCCAACAAACTGTGAGAAATGTTGACACATCAGAAAGGAGGAGATGTGTTGATGAAGAAGGATCGGAGAGAGACGTGGAGACAAACAAAACCAACAAGAGAATATTGAGTTAAGAAAATCTAAACTTGGTGCCAACAGTTGCTTAAGTTAATGTTTTCATCACAGCCGAGGTGCCTCTGGGTATTTTTTTATGCTAGTCTGCCTCTTGTACGCTGGAATCAAGAGCCGTTTGGATCTCCTGATCTGCTATGCTACCACACATCGGTGTTCTGCACCTCACCATCAGTCAAACTGTCATGAAGCGCAAACAGGATAACTCAGCTAGAAAAACAATAAAACACCGAGTCCTTTACCTTCGTAGCACCAACAAAACAGATGAGAAACACTGGAGTTGTTCACAGAGCAGCGTGCAAGGAGTGTGCTGAATTAGTTGAAACCACAGGCAGTCTGGATCAATTATAGTCTGGACAGAAGGGCAAACAATAAACAAGCCAAAAGGTCAGATGCCAAATACTTCAGACAGGAGAAAGAAGCAGAAACAGAGCAGATATCTTAGACTCCGGTGTTTCCCTGCCCTCCGCTTGCTTTTCATAATGCAGCCTCGACACTATTTCTGCTCCTGAGCTGGAACTCACACAATGGCTGATAGTGATTGCTTTATTTTCTCAGTGTGTGCCCCCTCGTGTGTTTGTTATTGCAGAACAGGAGGATATTTCAGACAGGGTGGTGGGGGGGTGGGGGGGTGGGGGGGATGCTGAGCATGCACAATCTGATCATTTTTCACTGGAATAATTAGAAATCCTGGAGGGTCAGCAGAGGTGGAAGGTGCCGGGGTTCAGGATGCTTGGAGCAGGACTTGTGGGACATGTGGCAGAGGACAGGGGGGGGGGGGGGGGGGGGGGGGGGGTTGGCGCAGATCACCAAGTCTGCTCAGGATGTGTGAAAGGTGATCAGGCAAGTATGCAGTCTGGCCAGCACGTGTGTGGTGTGCTGTTGGACATCCGAACTGCTAGCAGACCCAAACAGTAAAGAATACTCCACTGGCTGTGGCCACGGCCACTTTATTAGGTTAATATGGAGTCCAGCACCTGTCTGCAGGAATGTTTCACTATTAGGGGGGGGGGGGGGGGGGCAGCTCGCACCACCGATGCCAACAGGGCGCAGAACTCCCCTCTGCTGCAGTTTTCTTCTGTTTGTTTTAGAAACATAAGCATCCCTACTTCTAGAAATCAGAAGGAGGTCTATTTTTTTATTTCCGGAGCGCAAGGGGCATGAAAGGGCTGCAGAAGAGCAGCCCCCTCAGTCCCAGCATAATCTGAGAGACAACTGAGCGTGTGCAGCCCTCTGCCCCTGCGCCTGGACGCGGCGGTCCCTCGTGCTGAGCTCTCCGCTTACATTATTCATACGGAGGAGGGTGTGACTTGTTGGCTCTTTTTTCCGCCTGTATAAAACCAGAAGTTCGCGCAAAAGAAAATACAGATGGAGAAGGCTAACCGGCTCGCTTGTGTCACAGAGAGTCCCCCCTAAGCCTGCGTGACGAATCACCATAATGCCCGCGCTCTGTGTGCTTAGTCTCGCCATCGCGCTGGCTGCATTTGCCCGACTCGCCGACGCGGTGGGACCGGTGGTCCGATGTGAGCCGTGCCACGCCGGCGCACTGCTACACTGCAACTCGCTGCCACAGGACTGCGCGGAGATGGTGAGGGAACCCGGCTGCGGCTGCTGCATGACGTGCGCCCTGGGAGAGGGACAGGCGTGTGGAGTGTACACGGCGCGCTGCGGCTCCAACTTGACCTGCAGGCAGCAGCCCGGAGAGAGCCGTCCCCTGCAAGCGCTGCTGGAGGGTCGGGGAGTGTGCACCAGCACCGCGTCCAAGAAGCTCAATGCCATTCTCATCCCTGCTACAAAACAAGGTAGAAAGTGATGCTTTCCGATTGCGCTTGTTTCTAGTTAGTACAATGCGCGTGCCACGCGCGTGTGTGAGTGTGTGTTTGGGTGCTTTTGACAGACGCCCAGGTGCTGCTCTTTGCTGGACATGCGAGGAAAGCTGCTTTACACCATGGGCTTAGTGCGTAATGGTGACAGTTGGTTCTAACTGCTCTAATTATGGTCAAACAAACGTGCGTAAATCTCACGTTTATAGTGTAAAAATACTAATTCTATCTACGAAGTTCCAGTTCATAGCTGTGTAATCAAAATAGCTCGTGAAAATTGGATTGGATGATACATATGGGTTAGAGGAAGGAACTAGTGTCGCTCCATGCGCACCCACTGTTGCCATGTGCGCACAGCTTTGGAACAACGTGCGTAAAACCAGTTTATTTTTATTTTTAAAAGGAGGTTTGCAAATGTGTTTGAACACAAGGGGAACTGCTCCTTCAGACAGAGCCTGGCTCCTTCTAACCAATAGTTAGGAGATCCTGAGCTCACGCTGTAAGTATACAGTCAGCCTGATCACGTCCTTGTCCTCATTTCCCTTCACGGATTCCTGTGCGCAGCTATGAAAATATGTGCTACAGCTTCCCCCCCAGTCCAGGATGCCAACGCATCTCAGGTGTCTGGCAACTATGGGGGTGGGGGTGGGGGGTCTGGGTGTCCAAACAAGCAACACGCTGAAGACGTGAATTCCCGCAGAATGCTGAGAAACATCTTGTTGGGCTCGTTTTGTGCCACAAGTCGACATACATGCCACCTCCGTGTGAATACACACAGTTGTGAGTTTGGACACTGCTGACTGGTGCAGGTGTGTGTGTGTGTGTGTGTGTGTGTGTGTGTGTGTGTGTGTGTGTGGTTTATCCACACAAGGCTGATCTTACTTTTTCCACTCAGCCCATTTTCCTCCTGACGCCCCCCCCCCCCCCCACCATGATGCATCCAGATTTAAAATCAACATCATTTCTAATGTGACGTCACACAGAATACGGCAATCTTAGATGGAGATGGGAGGAAATAAAAAACGATGGGATTGACCACAAGCGCCCCTGCTGGTTGGATTGAGTTCCTGCAGCTGCAGCTCAGTCCTCCCCCCCAAACCCCCCCACCCCCACCCCCGTCTCTCCTCCCAGACATTAACAAGCTCTCTTAACCACAGTTTGTGCTGTTTACTCTTGCGCCATTACACAAACAAATTCCGTAATGTGTTTATCTAAAATGAGCCCCTTTAGTTCCTTTAAAGATTTTAAAAATGCTGCAATAAAAAAGTTCACGCAGACTGGAGTCATAAACAGGGCCCAGTATTTTGGACCTTTATGGAAGGCAGGCGGAGGCCGTTTCAGGTTAAAGAGCAGCTCGTGACGTTGTTGTTGACACCCGTGCTCCCAGCGCTGGTGCCTGTGCTGCTCCACCACCTCACTAATTGATCAGGTGGCCGCAGAGAGAGGGTGGATTGCCAGCCCGCCTTCCCACATGAGCCACGCCCCTTACATGCCCGTCAACCACCTCCACCACAGCTCACGCACTTGAAATCTGCTTCCAGTTAATGGTTTAAAACTGAATTTTGCTTTTGTGTGTTTGTGTGTGTGCACGTGCACGTGCACCACTCTGCATTTGTGTTCCCATCATCCCTCTCCCTCTCCTGTTGTCTCCAGACCGGGTTTATGTGAACGGTCTGGTGGCGTGTTACGGACGTCGTCCTCCCTTTTCATCGTTTTCTTTCTGCACCTACCCCGTCCACCTCACCTGCCCAAACCTTCTCCTCCACGCACACACTGAAGAGTTTTCCTCCCTCCTCCCAAAAGCGCTTGTTTACACTCAGTTCCTCCTCTTTTTTTGCTCTGCATTTTGTGGAAATTTGCGGATATGTAATTGTCATGTTTGGGTTTATAACTCTCCTTCATCTCCGACTCCAAACTCCAGCCCACAAGGCGATGACCTAACTGCATTTCGCTCTTTTGAAGCAATCCTCGACCAAAACAGTCCAGACTCTGCTGCTGGATTGAGGAGAAGTCTTGCAGCCGATCATCGTTTGAAGTTTCTGAACCTAAAAGTTGAACAAAATGGGTTTTTGTGATATAAGTTCAGCCTTATCTTCACTTTAAGACCTTTTATCTTTTAGCTTAATTTTGTCCAAATGCAAGTGAAAGGCTGCTTTTTTTTAAGTATTACTTTTCTCACACGTTGTGCCAAAACAGAGAACTGGTATCTGGAACATTTAGATCATGAAGACCTACTTTTGCTCACACAGAAAGCGCTGGGAACCAAGTAGAAGACTGTGCCAACACGACCCAGGAGGTGACAACAGTCCCGCCCGCCCCGGTGACGGTGAAGGATGGGCGCAGTCAGGGGTCGACCAACACCCGACCGCCCATGAACAACAAACTGCTCCAGAAGGCAGAGAACAAGAAGACACAGAGCTACAAGGTGGACCCGGTGTCCAGAGGACCCGACGTGGACATGCACAACTTCTCCCAGGAGATCAAGAGGGAGACAGAGTATGTAAGTCACACCCAGAGCTGTGATCACTTTACGCTTTTTTTATTGTGGAAAATAGAAATAAAAAACAACACGAATGAATAAAAATCTTCTCTCCGGTCACTGTTGGGTTCTGCATAGTTCACGGGAGATTCACATTACCGGTTTTATGCCTTCGTGCATGGAAACCTGGCGTCTCAAAACCCGTTTACGGGACATTTCAAATATTCTGACGTTTGTTTCTGTGGAAAAATCTATAATTAGCTGAATGAGTGAGAGATAGAGCCTCAGAATCTGGATATTATATCGTTTGAGATGAGCCCAGACCAATGGTTGACCACCGCCATCAGCTTCTATATCATGGATTCCATCATGTGACCTTTCCTAAACCACAGGTCAATTCGGCTGTTTTGAACACCCATCCATCCATTTTCAGCCGCTTTTCCAGAGTCGGGCCGCGGGGGCAGCAGCCTAAACAGGGAGGCCCAGACTTCCCTCTCCCCAGCTACTTGGGCCAGCTTCTCCAGGGGAATCCTGAGGTGTTCCCTGGCCAGCTGAGAGGTGTAGTCCCTCCAGTGTGGAACGCCTTCTCCAAATCCACAAAACACATGTAGACTGGTTGGGCAAACGGCCACGCACCCTCCAGGATCCCCCTAAAGGTATAGAGCTGGTCCAGCGTTCCACGGCCAGGACGAAAACCACATTGTTCCTCCTGAATCTGAGGTCCAACGATCCGCCGGACCCTCCTCTCCAGAACCCCTGAATGTACCTTACCAGGGAGACTGTAGTCGGAACACACCCTGCGGCCGTTCTGTTTTGAACATTCAGTCGTAAACATCTGCAGCTTTCTGGGTGTGTCCAGGTCCTCCAGGAATTCCTTAACTGCTGCAATAACTGAGCGATGCAAACTTTCTGGCGGCGTAAAAGGTTAAATGAAACTGTTTTTGCACAAACTGCTTTGAAATTTGTAGAATCAGTTTAAGACCTCGGATCAGACTAGCCGTTAGCTCATCAATCATTGCCGAGGGAGGTCCTTCTAGCATCAGTTAATGCTGCAGACGAATCCAAATCCAGATGTCGGACTACGGTGACCTAACTTTAATGAATAAACTGTTTGAAAGTGAAGCCAAGAAAAAAAAAATCGAGGACTAGTTGCCCGTGGAGACGGCTGGTCCAATTAACTTGATTAGGTGGGACAGGCTGGGAGAACTAAGAAGATTCAATCTGAAAAACCTCACAACCATTCAAGAATATTACCCACGATGGCTAATTATTTATCGCTTCAGCACAGAAACATTAATTTAGGATGGATAGAGGTGTGGCAGCAGATGGATCCAGGTGCATTTGGTAAAACTAACCGATCTCATTGTAGCGTGTTTAACTACATACTAGATTTAACGCTGTTTGCTAGCAGCTTTGTTAGATTCTGAGAAAAGGTCAAACGAGTTAACAACGAAGCTTTTATTACATATAAATATCTAGGATATTATATATTCGATAGAAGTTCATATGCCAACGAGCTTTGTCTATTTTTAATCCAAAGATTAATGTTTAATTTAAGATAATTAAATTTAATAGCAAAAGTTTATTTATTGAATCAGAAGTTTAAAGGAATCTTTGCTTGTTCAATCACCAGAAATATATACACCATTCTGTGTTTCATTTCAAAGAAGAGTCAAGTTTTTAAATTTAAGAATTTATTACTTACACTTTAAAAAAAATACTGTTTGAAATGACAATTTTTAACAGACAATTTGATATTAAAACTTGTTTTAAAAAGCAAACCTGTGACTGGATGGAAGCTAAATGAAAATGGGAGTTTTTGGATGCGTGAATGAATCTCAGAAGGTTTCTTTCAGCGAGAGAAGCGTTCTGGGTGGAAAGTTGGTTTTGCAGCTAACTGAGTCGTTTCTTAAGCCTGGTTTATGCTTCTCCGTCAGCTCCGCAAGGGACAGACACTCACGGATTGACGGAAGCGTTTTGCTCTTTTACTTCTCCGTCTCCTGGAGAGCGTTGCAAAGCAATTGCCCGGCAGGACAACAGAGGGCATAGCGCTGTTCTTTGGTATCCTGTCATGTATCGGTCCAAGATCGTGTGTTTATTTTGTGTTTTTTGTGTATATAAGAGACTTTTAACACGGACATATTTGTCTCTCATTCTCCCACCGCTTCATGCGCTCCCCACCTCTAAACCCACGTTTCCTGTTATTTCCGTCCACAAATAAAACGCTTGCTGCGCATCTTTTCACTCCTCCAGTCACGGGAGAATTAAACGTTCATGTTTTTAGAGTTTTTTCGCGAGGTATTCTTCAAGCTTCTCCGTGTCTGCCGCTAGTTAAACTCGGCTCTCTTTGCAATGGCGGCGCTGTAAACAACAGCGGCGTCCTGACCAATCACAAGCTTGCGTAATCCGTCTCGTTCGACGGATGTTTAAAAAAGTGGGCTCGACTCCGTACGTACTTGCGTGCCCTACGCAAGGACGGATAATGGCGTTGCGTGTCTCCGCACTGACGCAGACGGAGAAGCATAAATCAGGCTTAAGGAAGAACAGCATACAGACGCCATCTGTCAAAAGTGTCTACCTCACCCAGTTCAGGAGACCCTCTTCTGGATCCGAGATGTCAGGTGGAGATGGTTTCCTCCGGGCACGAGGTTGGTAGAAGGACCTTAGTGCGACCAAATCGGTCCTGAGATGTCTCCGTGGGCCACTCGACTGGTGGAACTATTTACGTCTCAAAATCAATAACTCTGAAGGAGTTTGGCGTCAGCTGGTTACAGTTGCGTTAATTCGAAGCAAGTCTATCGGCGTGACAGAATGCTTAGTAGAGACTTGGACGGCCATCCTTCTTCTCCTGGTATGGTTCAAGAACGGAACTTACAGCTGCAGGATTTGGTTTTAACAAACCCCTCAGAACACGCCCTCTCAGTGTCAGAAAGCTTGGTCATGAAGTAAAGACACGTGAGATGGTTTAAACGTTACCCTGGATACCCTCTGAATGAGGTGGTTAACGTGCAAGATGACCTTCTGGTTTACTGAACACACATTAGGGATTATCAACAATAATTATTATTACACCCAAAGCATAATAAGTCATTTCAGTAATTAAAATACATTTATACTGAATCAAGAGATTATTTATGATGGTTGTAATAACAGTAATAAAGTCAAGAGTTTATTAAAATTATTATTTAAAATTATTATTGGGAAATCTTGAAGTGTCCTTCATCCTGGGACGGAACAGCAGCAGATAAGATGTTGTTCAGCAGACATCACGGCTCCTGGCGGGTTAATCTGTGGGCAAAGTTACAGTTGGACCCAGCTTGACCAGCTGGGAAAATGTGACCTTTGTCACAAATTAGAGGCCATTCATGACGCTACATCATCCCAGAGATGCTCTTTCACCTGTCTGACATGTCATGGATGGACCTGATTCCATGTCCCAGATTTGGCCTCAAAGCCAATTAAAGAAAGAAAAGTGCATACTAAATGGAAACGATGATCAGATAAAAAAATCACTCTTGAGTGCGTCTCGGTGCTCTTCAGCCACAGCAGCAGCATCTCGTCACCTGCTGCCCCGGAACAATCAGATATTAAACAAAACCTGCGGGATGATGTGGGTGGGGGGGTGGAGGGTCCGAGTTTGGAGTATCTGGATGTTCCCTGGGGATGGGTTCACTGGGGATGTCTGGCACTGGGGGGCCGTTCCCCCCCTCTGGAGGTGCTTGGGTTGCCTCGGGGGGTGTACTGCTGGCGGTTGTGAGTGGGGCCCCTTGGAGGTCTTGGCGGCGGCCATGGGTCACTGCCTGGCGGCTGCATTGCCCCTGGGTGGGTCTGGGTGGGGGCCTGGGGGCTCGGGGTGTTGGGGTGGCCGGCCCCGTGTGGGGATCTGGGCTGGGCCTTGGGGGTCGGGTCCCTACATGTACGCTGCCGGGAAGAAGGCAGGAATACGCAGAAGTACCTGGCCCGGGTTCGGGGGCGTAGGGCAGGCCCTGGCTCCTCTGTTGTCCCATCACAGGGGAGGGGGAGGTCCAGGAGGGGGAGGACCCAACCTTACCTGGATGTCTTATGTCTTATATATTCTGGAAGTTGTGCAAATGCAGGGATGGGCATAGATATTCTGCTGGGGTGGGGCTGGGTCGGCTCCCTCGGGCTCTGTGGGGCTCTGTGATGCTGCTGCTTTGGGCCCTGGCAGGATGGGCTGGGGTCTCCATGCCCTGGGCAGCGGTATGACAACGGAGGTGCCTATTGGGGTCAGTGGGGGAGCTGGCTCCCTGGAGGGCTGAGCCCTACCAGCCATTCCTCCCCATCCCCGTTATTTCTCTCCTCCTGCTCCCTCACATCATCACACAAACATGCACATAGGACCTTGGGGGGTGGACAAGTCGAGGAGTGCGGGTATGGACCCCATTTCCGCATTCCTGTGGCTTCCTGCCCCCCAATTTTATTTGCACCTTATGCACTTCCACCGACGACATTCCACGCAAACATACACTTAGGGCCTTGGGAGTGAGCACATTCAACGGCACTTGGCAGGGGGAGTTCTCAGCCTCCTCCCGAGTGCCGGTGCCCACTTCGAATTTTAAACTGCATTTAGACACCAAGGGCTGTGGGTGCAAGTAGGGTGGTGCAGTGGCATCAGCTGGCATAGGCCAGAAAATGCCCGCACTGCCCGCTCACCACAGCAATAGAATACACCTCATTAACACACAACACTATGTTGGAGCAGGTGGAGGGAGACCAGGGGGTCTTAGCACACCTCTGTTGTTGCTTGGCTGCCTGGGGCTGGAGACTAGGAGGGAGATCTGGCCGTCTGGTTGGGGTCTGGGGTGGTGGGTTGCTGTGCTCGGCGGTGGGCGGGGGAGCCTGCTCATCAGCACCCCAGCAGAAAGGGTCAAACTCTGGTAACCGGTGGTGGTTGTACCCCATGTGCAGCATTACCGGGACCAGAGTGAATAGGGTGTGTATGGGGAGCATGAATGAGTGTCCGGCGTGTATTTTTGTAAGTCTTTGGTTGTATGTGCATGTGTGAGCATGAGGGAGGGAGTGTGTGACTGTGTTTGTGTATGACTGTATATGTCAGGTGGGGCCTTTGACTCCTCCCTTCTCCTGGGACCTCCTTTGATGATATAGATCTTCGTCTCCCCTCCCCCCTGTCACACCTGGTGTGGGTGTGATGCCTTGGTCTGCCTGAGTGTTCGTGGCTCCCGGGTCAGGGAGTTTAAGATTTTTGGCATCTGCCTGATCAATCCCGGTGGCGGCCTGGGGGGGTCTGGGTCCCTGGGCTCTGCTGGGTCCCCGGCGGGGGTGGTCGCCCCTGGGTCCCGGGTCGCTGGGTCCCGGACTCGGCCGGCTAGGGGGTGGGAGGCTGCGGGCAGGCCTGAGGACTTGCCGCTGATATCTCCCGGGGCTCTGCCGGCTGCTGGTTGTGGCCCCCCGGGGCGATCCTCTGTGCCTCTCGAGGGGGGCGGGGGCCTTTCTGGTTGCGGGCTCCTTGGGGTTCCTGTGTTCTGGGGCAGCGCCTGGATCTCTGGGACTTGGAGCTCCCCCCCGTCTCCTATGCGTCTTTGGGGGGCAGATCTGTGGTCCCTCACACTCTCTATTGGACGCTCCTATAGATAAACCTTACATAAACAAGCGCGTGTACACACACAGGTGCTCACATGGTGCTCTCATAAGTATGGGCTTGGGCACGTTCAACACATGTCTTAAGACTATGGTGGGCACTCAATGCACTGTGGTATATTATCGTGTGACTGTTTAGTTAAACAATGATTGATTATATATTTCTTCATCAAGTTGACGCAGTGATAGCTTGATTTTGTTATATTGGTGTTGTGTCCCTTTTTTTGTTATGTTTTGCTTTTTTCTCGTCTCATTTTGCAGGTCTAGAAGCAGACTCTTGTTCATTATTGTTTATTTTTGTTGAATCCCCCCCCCCACCTAACCCCCTCTCTCCCCACCTTTTCTCTTTTCCTTTCTCTTTCACCTCTGTCTCCGTGTCTGGTCGAAATTACAAAGCATTCAAAAGCAATAACAATAAAGTTTTAAATATCAGGTGCGACATTAAAAGCAAACTCTTTGATGCTCCACCTGAGAGTAAAACTGTAAGGCTTGTTACCAGCATTCAGACATCAATTCTGCTTGCTTCACAGCCAGACAGGACACGTAAAAAAAAAAAAAAAAAAAAAAAAAAAAAAAAAGATATTAAACAAAACGCGCAACTTCATTTTAAACCCAAGAAGTCAGAATCCTGCTTTGTGTTTTTTGCACGCAAACAGCTTAAGCATCCCATCATCATCCCATCAAAAAGCTGAACTTTCCGAAATCACGGCTGCAGGATTTGAATCTTTATTCCAACACAGATTTATAAACAGCCCGTTAAGATCAGGTTGAACACACTTTTTTGTAAACGAAACAAAAATATACCTACTTATGAATATTGAGGGTAAAGAGAGATGTGGGTAGCTCAGAGGCTAAAAAACACTTTAACCAGCCTGTCAGCTTTTATTTCTCCTGTTAGATGAGTTTGACACACAAGTGACCTTTTAGAAGTTTTATAAACATTTGAGGGACTTACATGATAAACCTCCCAACAGCTGAAGAGATGCTCCAAACCTGAAGGTTACCTAGCTTTTCCTAGGCAGTTAGCTTCCTAGCATTTCAGTAGCGCATTTGAACTTTTAATAATACATTTTTATTCTAAATGGTGCCACCTTTATATTGATCGTAGGAGCATAGAAATAGTTTCTGCTTGCAGCAGTTTCTGAGTATTAGCTCCGTGTTTCCATTCCTGACTGGCACCAGGCAACGAGAACACGTCACACCGGTTTTGACAAATCTCCATTGGCTCCCCATCTTAATCAAATCAAATCAAAGATACTTTATTAATCCCAGAGGGAAATTAGAGTTTCTGTACACACAATTCAGACATCAGACATACATGGGCAAGACACATGAAAAGAATTGGTGACTGTGGTCATTTGCAACCATGAGTCGCGCTACCTTAATAGAGATAAGAGGGTTACATGAGGATTGGTTCAGGTGGAGGGAAAGAAAAGGCACTTCAGAGTTACCCCCCCCCCCCCACCAGGAGGGCAGCTTTGCTCTGCGAAAAAAAAACAAAAAACAACACCTCAGACAGATATGCAACAGACTTCAGACAACACAACATAAGTGTCCACTAGGTGGGGTGGTTGGTTGGGACTATCCCCGCCTCAGTTCCTGCAGCCACTATAAGCAGCACATGTCACCTCAGTGTGGATGGGGGAGGAGCATTGAGGGTTGGAGGGTTGCAGTGACCCTGGAACATTTCAGCGGCCTTCTCGCAGTCCCGCTCAGGCTGGGAAAGGAGACAGAGTTGAGTTGCCATAGCAACGGCACATTCCACATATCTTCTGAGGGGGGAGTTTTCGTTGTAGCCTTGCAGGCTCAAGGACGCCAGATTCCGATTAGAAATAGTTTTGGGGCCAGACAGAGATAATTTCCTCTCTGTCTTACAGTTTGTTGGTCCTCAACCTCTCAAAATCCCAATAATGGACATTAATCTATCCCAGTCCGTGCTGATTCATCCATTCTCTCCTTGATGGCATCCATCTTTTGTGCCAAAGAATGAACCTCGGCCAAAGTCCCAAGCTTACGATTCATCTAGACAATTATGTGAGTCTGTGAGTTCACAGCGCGGTGCAAACCATCTCTGAGCTCCGGGATCAGGCCAATATTCCTCGACAGCTCGTTGATTTTCCGGTAAGCCAGGTAGCCTCCAATGCCGATCAGCAGGAAACCTGACACCAACACCACGAATATCCACACGTCTTCAGAGTCCTCCACAGACAGCTGGTCTGTCCCGGCGGGGCATCCGGGAGCCCCTTCTCCCGTTCTCATCGTTGAAAAAATTTTATCAACCGCGTTGAGAAACCAACTGACGAGATCCGTCTTAGTGAATTTCAGTTTTCAGTTTCCAGAAAAAATGCAACCTATCTCCGGATAGAGTTTAAGATCCTGGTTTTTGTGTTCAAATCCCTCAATAACTTAGCACCTGGCTACTTGTCTGAGCTCATTCACCCTTATGTCCGTACGCGATCCCTCCGATCAGCCGACCAGCACCTCCTCCATGTCCCTAGCTCCCGCTGTAAGTCCCGCGGGGAGCGTGCTTTCTCAGTTTGTGCGCCGACGCTCTGGAACCACTTGCCCCTCCCGATCAGACTCTCTTCCTCCCTTTCCATTCTTAAGTCTCGTTTAAAAACTCACTTTAATTCTCTGGATTTTAATTCAGCCTAACTTATTCTCTTTCTCCTTTTCTTTTCTATCTGAATTACTCGATTTTAATGGATTTAGTTTGTATTTTTGATTGTTTTTATTCCTCGTTCTTGTTCAGCACTTTGGTCGGCTCCCATGCCGTGTTTAAGTGTGCTGTACAAATAAACTTGGTATGGTTTCTGCTTGGACTGCTCTTTAAACGGTAGCTTTTGGTGGAAGTGTAAAGGATGGCAGCCGCCAGCAGAGCGCCATAGAGAGCAGCATTAACAGCAACGGTCCATAGACAGTTGACTTGCTCCAGGCGCTCCGGGTGCAAAATTCCACACAAGCAAACCCTCTTTTTTATTGCCGAAAAGACCCATCGCCAGCAGAGAATGTGTTTATGCCTGAGTCGTCTCCACGGCACCACAAGCAGCCAAGGTCATCGATATCCAGATGCATGAAAATGCTTTGAATGTGTGTTTACTAAATGTCTGGTGTCTGCAGCAGCAGGAAGTGTCGTTGTCGGCCTGTAGGTGGGATGCATGCAGAGCCGAATGCGCGTGCAGAAAAAGTGCACAGCACAAACATTACTAAACAATGTAGTACTCTGCAATTTGTGGTGAAAACTTCACAGGGTAGCTTTATGTTCTTTACCATTGTTTAGACACAATTAGCTTTGATTACAAATGCCCACGGAAAGAAGGTACCACTTTCTAGCTCTCCAATATCTCATTTGGGGACTTAACTTCTTCAATCTGGACCCACCAGAAGCTTCAGACCATGTCCTCTGAGATTTAATGATCATTTTATTCTTTGGGCTGCTGAATTTTTGTTTGTTTTGATATTTAATGGTTAAAGGACGATTATTTTCGACAGCTTGTGATGAAACTGATATTCCTATTTGTGACGGTGTAAAGAGTCTTGTTGTGGTGTGTTTGCTGTGTTGCTAGGGGCCGTGTCGACGGCAGATTGACAGCATTCTGAACAGTCTGAAGATCAACAACGTGCTCAACCCGAGAGGCTTCCGCATACCCAACTGTGACAGAAAAGGCTTCTACAAGAAAAAACAG